TTTTAAAGCTAGAGAATTAAGTCATCGCGAAGAGGGAGGCTGCTCATTACGGGTCTTTGCAAGTGTGGCAGGCCTGATGAGGCACTAGTTTATCTTCATGAGATGGAAAAGAAGGAAATGAAACCTGAGATTTTTGTATATGCAGCAGTAATAAGTGCTTGTCACTCTGAGCTAAACCCACCCCGACACTGAAGATATTGGATGTTCTAATTTGTTTTAAATCTGGATAAATAAGTCATCACAAAGAGGGAGGCTAATAAATTTCCCCTGGAATGGTTAGTAAACTGAAGCTGCAGGTGAGCTGCTGCTGTTGAAACTATATAATGTGGATTAACACTATGGTTACCGTTAGGTGCCTTGTTTTCTAGCCATGTAGCTGTTTTAATAGATATTCTTTATGATGTATTTTGGAAATTGGATGGTAATTTTATTGGAATTTGGAGGTACAAAAGTTCAACCTGCTCAGAGTAATCAGCGACAATGTCTTGAGTTCTGAAACTCCTTTTTTCTTGATAAACTCATCACACCCTCTAAGCATTGATTGAATTCGACAGTAGACTTCAGAATATATTTGAAAATTTGAGTTTGACAGTACCCTTCCAAACCTATTCAGCGTCAGTGGAACACTGCCGGAAAGTCATGCACAAACTCACACCAGCCAATTTCATGCATGAAGCCTGAAGGATCCTAGGAAGACCCTTCAGAAAGCAGCAGATTGCAAAGCCCGTTCTCTCGTCTTGCTCGACTCCTCGTCTGTCTCGATCAATTCGAAGTCACCTACCACTCCCTGCAGCGTCTTCGTCCCGCTCCACGACTTCTCCAAACCTTCGCTCCGACCACTGTTGTGTCTTCATAAGTCTCGCGCGGCTTCCTTTTTCCATTTTCTCTTCACTTTCTTTGATTTTGTTGTGAAGATTCGTGAAATTATACTGGGTCTTGATCGATTTTTGGTCGCTGGAGCTTTTATTGATTTCTGGGTTTTAATTGATTGTCTGGGTTTTGATCGATTTTGTCGCTGGAGCTTTTGACCGATTTCTGGATTTTTGGTCTCTTTTAACACTTGCTATATCATCAAGGATTAAAAATATTATCCATCGACAAGGTAAGGATATTTGTAAAGCTGTAGTTAGAGAGATCAAAGAATAGACAAGAGCAGTGATATAATTGTTGTGAATGTAAATCAAATACCATCTTTTTATATTTTTCTATAAATTGATACAGAGTTTTTAGCATTAGGTAATAAACTTGCTTTCTGATTAAAGAAGTGTTGTATAGATTTACACAAGGCAAGCATCAGATTACTACTTTCTCATACCATCAATTTTGAACAATTGATTGAGTGGATGGTTGTTTGTGAAGTTTGGTGTTTGTATTGCATTTTGTTGAGGAGGGGTGCAATAGATGAAGAGTGAAATAAAAAAATAAAAGAAAATTGAAATGAATGTTTTTGAGCTAAAAAATATTTTAGTTTAGGACATAGTTCGGCACTGCGTCAAACACTTCACTATTCTTATCCTGTTTAGTCCAAGCCAAGCCAATCCAACTTAGGCCATCTTCAACCGAATGGTCCAGAGAGCCAGAGGGCAAAAAAAAAAGAGTCCAAAAACCGTCTCCAACCAAGGGCCGGACCAAAGGGCTTGTGGGCTCCATTGTACAAACAAGGGCCAAATGGCCAACCGACTGGCCCAACCCAGCCACCCCGGGCGGGGCCACTATTTGAATGCAACATGTAGTTGTTGACGTCAGCTAGTCGTTATATTTGATTTTTTTTTTTTTTTTTTTACAAAATTTTTGAAATTTTTTTTTAATTTTTTTTTTCCTATAACTTCTTAAGCCATTAAACAACATTAAATTAAGTAACATGAAACAACATTAAATAACACTAAATAACATAAAAATTATACAACATTTAACAACATGAAACTTAGACAACATTTTAAAAAACATTTAACAACATAAAGCTTAAATGCCTACTCCATGCTTCTTTTGTCCCAAAGATGTGCAACAAGATCCTGTTGTAAGTACTTGTTTGTGGCACGAGAACGTATCATCCTATAGCGTCTCATGTACTCATTTAAAGAGATACTACCAGTTCTTGGATTCAAAGACAAATTAGGCCCATCATATATTTTTGCACGAGCCCTTCTTGACCTATTTGGATCTTTTTAGTCATCATCAGACTCTCCATCAATATACACATCTCGCTCATCCTCCACAATCATGTTGTGTAATATGATGCAAGACATCATGATGGAGTCCAAATTTTCTTGACTCCACCCTCTTATCGGTTCCCTGATGATTTTCTACCGTACTTGTAAAATATTGAAAGCTCTCTCAACATCTTTTAGGTATGTCTCTTGTTGTAAGGTAAACCATTTTTAGGTTATTTGTATTCCTCGGAAACCCCCGCCTACATCACCATTCAATATTTCTTGACCCACTATTGGCCAAACCACCTGGGCACTAGGTCCAATGTGAGTAGGATCACTTAGCCATGCTTCATAATTGGAAAAACGAGCACCATGGAAATACATACCACTCAGCCAAAGAAAGATGATGGAGACATTGATACAGAGCCAATTCCAAATAGACTTATTGGAGGGTCCCATTGGCGTGCATCCAGTAGGAATTGAACCTACGAATGGTTGATAGAGTAATCCTTGATCATAATTTCCAGTATGAGTACTGCGTCCAACACGAAACTTATGGCTGGTAGTAAAACACCGATTTTCCTATTGAGATCTAATTCGATCTTCATAGATTTCTCGAGAAATTTTCTTACGAAGTTTTGTTATAGCATCTATAACGGCCTCCGGTTTAGGTGGACAGCCCGGCAAATAGACATCCACAGGAATTAGCTTATCAACTCCCCGAGAAACGAGGCCCTCTGTAACGTGACATAAAGACTCCTTATTTTTTTATGAAATTTCATAAAACAAAATTAAAACTAAACTAAAATATGATAAATTAATCGAAATTTACTGAAGTATTGTATTACAAAGAATAATTAGAGGAATTGTATCAATATCCGGACCTTATTGTATATAAATAATTGTATTATATAAATAAAAAGAATTTAAAATAATAATAAAAAAAATTCAGGGTTCTTTTCTTGATTGATTTGTTCTCCAGAGACCGAACTCCTCCAATCCCATTTTTATTCATAATTGGAAGTTCCTACGAGATGATAGGGTGACCCTTGGGAAAAGCGAAAGAAGTTTTTCGCTTTGATTTCACATTATCAATTATGTAAAAAATAAAAAATCAAACAAACGGAGAAAAGCCGGCTATCGGAATCGAACCGATGACCATCGCATTACAAATGCGATGCTCTAACCTCTGAGCTAAGCGGGCTCACATAACATAAATTGTACACGTATACTAATTTAGTAACCATGATCACGTCGAATCCTTATGAATTCGCAGGGCTTGGAATTGCTTGGACAAGTGTCGCATTTGGGTAGATGTCATCTGCCAAGTAATACCCTATATTGTACTGACGCCCGTTGATGTAGTAGTCAATTTGAGGTGATTTACCTTCCGTCAGGTTATTGAAGATGGGTGAATGCCCAAGAACTATAATGTCATTTTGGGATCCAGGGACTCCAAAGAAAGCATGCCAGATCCATGTGTCATACGAGGCAACCGCCTCTAACACAATAGTTAGCTTTCTCGACCTTCCGCTCAAGCTTTTTTGCCATTCGGTGGGACAATTCTTCAAATTTCAATGCATGCAGTCTAATAACCCTACCATGCCCGGAAACCCACGATCTTTAGCTTTGCGAAGGAGCCGATTCAAATCTTCTTGATTTGGCTCGCAGAGATACTCCTCTTTGTAAAGTTGAACAATTGTTTTACATAATTCAGCAAGAGTATCAAGGCATGTAGACTCAGACATACCATGGGTTTCATCCATCAAATCAGTTGAGGAGCCATAGGCCATCATTCGTAGTGCAATAGTAACCTTCTGATGAGGTGAGAAACCAGGGCGGCCTGCTCTATCCAGCTTATGTCGAAAGTATGGATTAGCCTGCTGGACATCATGAAGTAAACGCTTGAAGATATGACGCCTCATCCGGAAGCGACGTTTGAAATCCTTTTATGTGTACACCGAGTTGAGGTTGAAGTAGTTGTTCATCAAATTGGCATGCGTCATCGCTTTGTTTCGTGGTTTGTAAGAGCGACCAGCAACAGAGTCACCCCATTGAGGTTGTTCCTCAGTTGGCTGACACACCGTGGCCGTAGCCATGGCTGCCACATATTGTGTGTTGCGCCATGCTTCATCTTCTTCATCAAACTCCTCATCTTCTCGTCTCATCTGCGCCCATTTTTCTTCCAATTCTGAATTGGATAAAGACCCTCAGTTGGAATCCGAAGATGATCCAAAGTTGGAATTCATGGCAAACGTGAATTGAAAGAGATTGAATTCAAAGGTGTGTGAATTATAACCCAATATCCACCCCATTTATAGGTCAAAAAAATTCAAATCCAACAGGTAGCTGACATCATTTACCGATTTTTTTGTTTTGGCCAAATTAAAAAAAAATATTAATAAATTCTCATTTTGTCCTATAAATTTAAGTTGTTGTAGTTTTAACATTTAAATAATAAATTATGTTTGGCCCTCAGTTGGAGATGATTTTTTGTCACAGGGCTATGTTTGGCCCTATGACCTTTTGGCCCTCGGTTGGAGATTGTAAGAAATATGACACTGCACTGTTCATTAAAATATTAATTTCTTGGAGGGCCAGAAGGCTAAAACCAGCCATCTGGCCCTCCTTCGGTTGGAGATGACCTTAGTGCCTGAAGCTAGTCCAGTTCGAGATAGTCTGGCACAACAAACGCACCCGAACTCCAAAGAGAAAACTATTTCAATACTTTGAATATACTAGGTGTGGTATTTTAGGTACATAATCCGAATCAGGTAATGTGTATATTAATAACAATTAATAATTAATGTATCAAATTAAAAGGAACAAGATCAAAATTCAATCCGACTCTGGGGTATAATAAATAAATCTTATTCATAGGGTTTAGCTCCTGGGCGACCCAACCAACTTGCATTGGTGCCCAATTCTGTTAATTGCTTAATCAACAAGATGGCTAAATCAGATCAGAGTGATTAAAATCCAAAATTAAAGTAATGCATTGTTCGTTTAATTTACAATGAATATTATATATAGTGGGGAATGAAATGAAGGATTTGTGGAAAGGAAAACTAATCTAATTCCAGACAGGAATGATTCCTTGAGCGGCTAAACGCTTTTCAACCCAAAAGACAATATGTTTTGCAGTTATTTTCTTCTCATCAACGAGAAATGGCTCAACAGTGCTCACTCCTGAGCCATACGAAGACAGAGAAAACCCCTTTGGACCTGCATGTGTACCATATTCTGTTAATGTCACTTTTCTGTAAATTCATTCATTAAATTGTGCACAAACATCAATCAATGAATTGAAGACTTGACAAGGCAAGATACAAGAGGTACCTGTGAGGACTCCACTGGGGAAGAAGGCCCAAAACGAATAAGAATTGCCCTTCTTTATAAAGGAACCTTCCAGCTGTATATATATATATGTATTCATTTTTCAATCAAACCAGAGTACGTAGTATCAATTATTATAATATGAAAATGCTAGGAACGAACAAACGAAAGTTCAAAGACAATTAGTATATATAGGTAGCTGACCCTGTTGTCTTGAAAACATAGCTCAATATCAGAGAGTTCATCTTGAGTTTCGAGTATTGCTTTCAACGGCGGGATAACGTCCTCCTCCATCATTTGAGGCAACTCCTTCATTGGGGCTTTTGCAGCAACTTTAGGCTTTGCTGGAGCTGCTGCTTTTTGATCAGCTGTTTTAACCTCCTTTGTACTTGTATCAGCAGCAGCAGCAGCATCAGCTAGTACGTAAAAGGGGCAAAAAGAGTTCACTTTTTACCAATGCTGCCCTACTATAATATGTGTCAGATATAATCACAAGGCAATGAATCCCTGCCATACATTGTGAAAATAGAGCAACTCACCAGTGGAAGTGGATGATTCTTGCAAAGCAAAGCACGCAATATTTCTTTGAGATGCTACCACTTTACTTTTCATCATTTGCTGCTAAAGCAGATGAAACATAACATCCATGAGAAAAAAGGATGCAAGATATTTGAAATTGTGTTATGTTTTTGCCTCCTTTTTGTTAGGTTTAGTTAGTCTCAAAGCTAAGCCTATAAGCGATGGGAAATGATTTCTACACACTACTTTTCAGATAAAAATCAATCTTATGATTCCTATACATAGTTTGTTTAGTGGTAAGAGACGACCAGGAATAGCGGTACTCACATCGTTTGAGGTCTTTCTGCCAAAAGGCAGGCAGGCTGATGGCTTCGGGAGAGCTGAGAATTCTGCAAAATGTTTTCCATTTGGCTGTAGACATTGAAATATTTCTCATCAATCAATGCTCATGCATGTATCATCCAGTAATAAATAACACATTGAATCTAGTTAATTAGCAAACGCTAGCAAGCATATATATAACATACAATTGAACAACAAAACCATGAACCTGAACCTGCAGAGGAGATGGTTTGGCCAGAGAAAGAATAGCCGAAGCCATGCTTGCTTGGTTGTTAATTTGGAGCTTCATTCGCAAAAGCAAGCCACTGAAATAAAACCATCTTCTCTTGGACTAGGCGTAGTAGGACGACAGATAATGATGGCCTATCATTTAATGAAAGGCTAAGATTGAAGCTCTTCCATTTTCCCTCATCTCGCTCTCTAACGAGTCGACTTCCAAATTCGCTGCTTATTTTGGACGTTCGGCCTTTTGGGCCTTACCCTCATTTTCTTAGTGGCCCGATATACATTTTGCTTTTCTATTTTTTTCTCACAAAATTTGCTTTTCTATTATTCAAGGCTGCTAATTTAAAAATGGTCTCAAAATAAATTACAATTTATAATTTATAGGGAAAATTAGAATCCTCTACAGTTTTTCTATATCATTTATATTAAACATTTGTGCCTTTTTTAAATTTGATTAAAGTGCTTTGACCAATAGTCACCTCTATTTTTTAAAATTAAAATAAATTTTGAATTTATCCTTTTATCAATGCACTTTTCCTAATTTAGTGGAGATATTAGTAATTAAACTATATTTCTCTTCTTCCATATATGTTTCGATCAGTTTTTTTTTTTTTTTTTTTTTTTTGTTAAGCAAACATTTAATATTATTTCTTTTTTCAAATGGTTTTTTCTATTTCAAATAGTTGGTGATCAACATAAAAGCTCTGTGTAATTTTCTCAATTTTTTTGTGAAATTATATATATATTTTTGTTGTTTTTTAAGTATAGTTGTTGACAAATTATTATTAGGTACAATACATTACGTTTATATTATCTGCTGGTACGTTTGAATTTACAAAAAACATTAATTGGTATGTTTATTTGCAATTTTGGTACGTTTGATTTGATACATATTGTTAATATTGGTACATTATTTTATTTTGGTACGTTTTATTTTGTACACATTGTGTATTGGTACGTTTATATTATTCTCAATCCTATTTTCTCTTAAACCTATTTTCTCTTAAAGTACTAAAAGAAAAACTTATTTCGGTACGTTTGATTTTGGGGGATTTAAAACTATTTTGGAAAGAAAATATCTTAAATCGTAGATAATTATTGCTAAATTGTAGCATTATTGTGAAAATAAATTGAATCTAACCAACTTTTTTTTACAATTATCTCTAACGGACGAGAGTGTAATCAAAAGGCTAGATTATAGGAAATTTGTTACAATATAATGTGCATATAGCACAAAAATTATGACAAAAAAAGTTTAATCAAATCATTAAAAGGCATGAATGTTTGATCTAGAGAATTCAAAATTGAGGCGGCTATATCAAAAGATCCCTTTTATATACAAATGCATTGAGTTTTTCTTAAGATAAAAATCCACATCCGTCCCCAAGACCATCTCTAATCTTTGGTTAAAACCTAAAATTTTTAACTCAGACAATTTAGGTTTTAACCCATAAATAATTTTTTTCCTCCAATCATTATGGGTTAAATTTTAGTCCAATATTATTAAAAACAAATTTAGGATAATTTTTTTTAAAGTAACTTAAAAAGAAAAAATTTATGTAGACTATCCTAATTTAATTTTATGAACATTTTTACCTAAATATTTAGATTTCGATAAATATTGAAAAATCACTAAACCGACACCATGGAACTTGCAGAGCGCTATGAAAGAATATGAAACACATAAAAGAATTTTTTTAATTACTTTAGCCGTTTTACCATTGGATTTGATTATATTAAATATTAGCCGTTGGATTCAATGAATTTATAAATAGAAAACTAAAGAGTGTGGGTCTTGGAAGTGATGCTGCAACAGACGAGGGTTCAGACTGTTATTCAATATTGTCATTGTTCGTTACGACCTGTACCTTGAAATATTGTATTTTATTCCCAAGACATATGAAATAACTATTTTGCCCCTAAGTGGGTGTCTTAAATAATTTATCGAGCCTTGACTCGAAAGTCAATCCTCGTATTTTCTTCAGTTTTTTAACCTTAATTTTCGTACGTTAGTTTTACGTCGAAAATGAATTACGAATCGAGACCTCGAGGGTCTATTTGTAATTAAAAATAATTGGAGGGGCAATTTTATAATTTTATTTAAATGGGTTTAAGTGGGATTACATAACTCTCAGCATCTCTCTTTCCCTCAGCTGAAAACACACACACTCTCTATCTCTAAGTCTCAAGCGTTCTCTCTTTAAGCTCTGAAAGCTTCACCCTAGCTCTCACCCCAGTTCCCTCACAAATCAAACCTCAAAATCTCATATTCGACATCCTTGAGACTTAAGGAACACAAATATGGTCTTGCATGTGAGATCGATGTAGTGTGGACCTCGGCACCATTGAAGTCTAGGGCTTCAAGCTTTGAAACTTGAACCCATGAGAGTTTCTTTATGCAAATCTTGTTTCGTTATGTTTTATTCTTGTTTGGGATGGGATTTGTGGTGATTTCCAATTCGAAAAAAGGGATTTAACCCTTGCATTTGCTCTGTGCATTTTTTTTAGTTTCTGGTCATTTCCTTCTTGCAAACTCTGGTGAGTTTGTGAGCTTTAGAGTTCATACTCTACTCGAATCAACCCTAGGTACTTAAATACATCTCTGCATGTAAAAATTGATGGAAAATCACTATAGGACTGACATGCATGCTCTCAGTATCCATTTCCAGAATCCAGTGAACCTCGCTGAGCTCCATTCGTCGAATCCAACTCCTCCTCCAAATTTGAGTTTGGGTAAGTCTCTAAACCCTTTTTGGGACTTAAATTGGTGATTTTCACTAGGAAATACGTTGAAATCAAGCTAAGAAGCCTTGACCGTGTTCTGGAATTTTTTCTACAGTTTTCGGTGAGATTCCGTTAACTCTAACAGAATTTTCCAACGGCAAAGGTATATTCTATTTGTTACAGTCATATTTAGAATAGGAATGTGATTGTGTAAATCTTAGGGAATCTAAGAATGTATCTTATATTCCTATTAGGAGTAGATTACCTATTAAATGTTGTAATCCTAAAGGGAAAGATTTTTACCTCTCCTACTACTATAAATAAAGGCACAATGGGGTGAATCAAACACACTTCACAATTAAATCAATCTCTATTCTCCCTTAATATTGTCGGCCCCTTCTCTCTAAACCCTAGATCATTCAATCAAATAGGCCTACAACACGTTATCAACACGCTCTTGCCAGAAGATGAGGAATTGACGCATCGTAGGAGGAGGCTATCATCCACCAAATTCAAAGGCTTATTCGTTTTCTGCTAATCAGGTACGCTTAAAATAAAAGAAGATATTTGAAACATCCATGAAGCATGAAAACATTCCCCATGATGCATGAACCCCTTTATGTTTATATTTTCCTTTCAATATATATAATGTATATGTTCATATATTTGTCAATATATATATATATATATATATTTGTTTCATGCATTGCACAATTAAATTGTTATGTGGAATATGTGAGTCAAATTATATAAACTGAATTAGAAGCAAATTTGGGTTTCCTAAACCCTAAGGGAAATTGGACATAGTATGACACCACCCCTGCAGCACAACATCGGCAGCAGCCTTCTGGGCTTTGCTACACCTATTTGGACCCCTATGCATTCGTCCTGATTGATTGGCATGGGCCTGAAGCCTCAGTTCTACCTCTAAGGAGGCTTAGACCCTTCATGGATCCAGACCAAACCCACGATAAGCTTTGCTTGTTGGGTCATTGTCCCACACGCACCTATGCCCGCATACCTGCTCATTCCGGTGTTAGCCCACTTGATTGGGCTTAGTTTTTCTTGCGACTCGCAACATAGGAAGCCAGCCTATGTGGCTAGGCTCCCATACGAACCCACAAGGCTGAGCTTTGTCCTCCCATGCACCACCTCACAGGCTAGCTGTCGCTGGGCCTTGACCCACACCCCCTTGTAGCCCAAACCTACATCTTGGGCTGCTCTTTTTTTTCACTCACCTAGGCCCGTGGCCTGCAGTCCACCCCTGAGGCCTTAGGGCCTTGCCTACTCATGACACCCAGCCCAAATATTTTTGGGGTTATATTTTCGATCCAATAATATTATTTAGCTTCTACAATCGACCCTGTATGGCCCGATTTATTGAATTAATTAAAAGTGACCTGCAACCCATTAATCTGATAATGAATCCAAAATTATTGACTTGAAGATCACTTTTGGACATTAACGATTCAATAATTTATTTTTATACTTTGAACCGTCACATACTTTCGTAGTAACGAAGCTCTCACACTTGAGTTCTTGAAGAACCTCAAATCCACTATGTTGATGCACAAAATCAGCGAAGACTTTGGTACAACAGAAAGTGTCAGGTTTTGTGACCTTCGCTTGGTTGCTTCGGTCACTAGTGAGGATAAGTACGTAAATGAATAGAGACAGAGAAGCAAACACAAGATGTACGTGGTTCACCCAGATTGGCTACGTCCACGGAGTAGAGAAGTTCTTATTAGTAGTGAAGGGCTTACACAAGTACAAAGGATCAAGCTCTCAATTTAGTGAGTTCTTGTGAATGATTTAACACAAATGGCATTAGGCAATATTGTGGGGGAATGACCCCTATTTATAGAAAAACTTGTAGCTTTGTCACATTGACATGTGTCATGTTATGATTGGTTCTTGATGTCGACACGTGCTGCGCTCTGATTGGCTTCTAATCTTGACACGTGTCGAGTAGTGATTGGCCTCCTGGTCGGAGGGGAACTCTTCTGGGTCCTTGACAGTATAGCGTTGGCCGGTGCTCGGTAGTTTCGGGATTGGTCAAGTATGGTACAAACAGTGCTCCCCTAAGTTCCCGAGTGAGGGAAGCTCCTCGGTTGGGGACTTGCAAGATCCAAGCCGCTGAGTAATCACGAAACTTCTAAGTACCGAGGTGTGGTATCGTCTTCACTTGCCTTATCTTTCTCATAGGTAGACGTGGCATCTTCTCTGGAAGTACGCTTCCTCCATCCAGGGGTGGTATCTTTAACCGATGAAGATGCACAAGGTAATGTATCAATTTCACTTGAAGCTTACTTGTAGTTTCGGGCTTGGTCAAGTGCGATACAAACCCTATAGTAGGAGTCCCCCAAGTCGCCGAGCTAGGAGATCTGCCGAAAGAGGTGACAGACAAGGTAAGCAGTCAAACTTC